CGGATGACTTGCCGTTGCACATTTACAAGACCGTCAACAACCGTTTGGTCAAAGTATACACTGAGTGGCCGAGCAAACCAGCGTTGAAGACTGAGTCTCTGAAGCTTGCCCGTGCCAAGCAGCACTTGTCGACAGTTTGGAAGCAGTCAAAACATTACTGCTGTGCGAATATGCAATGCTCGCTTTGCACGAGCGTTTGTGTCCAGAAGCGATCTGCTGCACTTTTAAATCTTTTCCGATCCATGCCTGCAAAGACTCAGAAGCCAAATTCTGAGAAATTCCGGCAAATTCTTAGGTCGTGCAAGGTCTGAGTGTGTTCGTTGACTGTTCGACAGCATGCATTCCGCGTTAAAGAAGACCAGCGTGATGCAGAAGGTGCCAGTGCCGTACATGTTCTCACGACAGGTGACTGTCGCAGCGTATGTTGCTCGACTGCTTTTGTAGCTAGGAGTGGCCGTTCTTCGTGTCTCGTACCATGTGGGATCTTTGCCTGCTCGGTGACCGCATTATCAGCTTCGTGGTCTTCCGTTACCATATCTACTTGTTTTACCAACCGGTTGCGCAGCATGGTAGCGGTCTTCCAGCCTCGGAAGAAACAGACGCATCTATGTTGTCTGCGGCCATGAGAGCACAAGCGCGTATGCAAATGCAAGGACGGAGGATTGTTGAAAGGCTCCGCCAAAGATTCTTGGCAAGTCGAGTCAGAGCTCCGCAGTTTCACTATACTATCCACCCGATGTTCATCCAGAATCAGGCTGTCTTTGTACCAGTAACAACTTTGTCTCCGGCGATGCCTCATCTACTTGTCATTGCAGCTGTGTGCAAGTCGCGGCATGCCTCTGTTGCGAACGTTATGCATGACAAGTACATGATTGACTTTCGTGGACTTATGCGCAGTTCTCATTAGCGGCATTACGTGTGCCATTGGATTCATGGAACAAATGAGGATCGATTCCGCTTTCGTGCTAAGGTATGGATGGACGTTCGCGTAGTGGCAATTCGTAGCCCGCTTCCTGCTGTAGTGTAGACATAAAAGAATCACAATGTGACATGATGCTGACATGAAAATTAAGGACCGAAGATCTGCCTGCTGCACGTGTGTCAGTACAACTGGAGTGACTTGCTCGTTGAGTTAGGTTAGTGCATGTTTTCGTGGATGAGCAATGTGAAGGATCAAGAGACAGAGAGTTGTTTGTGGGTTGCTGAGACCATGAAGCGTTCGGCCGGAGATGCTGCGTTGCCAGTGCCTGTGCAGCGAGTTCGAATCACTGTTGTGGTCCCTCCTGTTCCCATCACTGCCTTTCGTCAGATGTCTTTTGACTTGGTATGTGAATCAACCGGAACCATTGACTCAGTGAAGTGGGCCTTGGCCGACAAGATGTACTCAGCCCTTGGACGGAGCCCTCGAATTTCTTCGTTTCAGCTTCAGCAAGACGGTCGACATGTTGCATATACACAGTCCATTTCGACTTTGAGAGCGCTTGCACCGTGGTATTTTGTTCGTACAGCACCAGATTCCGAAGATTGAGAGTGTTGCATGTGCCAGGAAAATGAGCCTGTTAGGGCCTGTGTGTGTCTCGCTCTGTTTCCAAGAGATTCAATGTTTGAGGGGTGCGCCAAACACGCTTCTTAAACTTTAACTTCCTTTATATGAGCAGCTTGTAAAGGTTTTTGCAAGTCGTGGTGCAAAGAGCCGTTTTCCACAATTCCAGGCCCGGTTTTCCACAACTTTCGGCTCTGAACAAGCACTGTTTTCCGCAAGTTTGGGGTCTGCACCGAGCAGCTTTTTCCACAGCTTTGGGTGCTGAACGGATGCGTTTTTCCACAGGATTCGGGTCCAGACCAAAAAGATTCCGCAGACTTAGTCTCCAATCGGACATTTGTTTGCAGGAAAACCTGCGAAAATATTTGCAGAAAGTCTGCCGTCTTTGCACAAAAACTTGCGGACACATTGGTGGAAAGTCTGTCGTGTTTGCGGAAAGACTTGCGGAAACATTTGTGGAAACTCTGGTCGTGTTTGCGAAAAACGTTGTGGAAACACATGCCGATATTTTCCACAAACACGACGTCGTGTTTGTGGAAAAACTTGCGGAAACATTTGTGGAAACTCTGGTCGTGTTTGCGAAAAACGTTGTGGAAACACATGCCGATATTTTCCACAAACACGACGTCGTGTTTGTGGAAAAACTTGCGGAAACATTTGTGGAAACTCTGGTCGTGCTTGCGGAAAAACCTGCGGAAACATTTGCGGTCTGCGGAAAAATGTGCGGAAAAAGATTTTGGAAAACATGTCCGTGTCATGCCAAAACTGGCCAAAACGTGTTGAAGTTTAGAATTTTACGGATTCGGCATGTTTTCCGCAAGCTTTTCCGCAAACACGACATGTGTTTCCACAACGTTTTCCGCAAACACGACCAGAGTTTCCGCAAATGTTTCCGCAAGTTTTTCCACACACACGGCCAGAATTTCCACACATTTTCCACAAGTTTTTTCCGCTAATACGACAGGGTTTCCAAAAATGTTTCCGCAAACTTTTCCGCAAACACGACAGAGTTTCCACAAATGTTGCCGCTCTCGTGCGTTGCTCCTTGTCAAGCCCCAAAGATGCGGAAAAGCCTTCTTGCGAGGCTCCTTGTCAACCCCCAAAGATGTGTAGAAACTCTCTTGGGATGCTCCTTGTCACACCCCAAACGTGTGGAAAACCCTCTTGCGAGGCTTTTTGTCAAGCCCCAAAGATGTGGAAAGACCCTTGTGTGATGCTCCTTGTCAAGCCCCAAACGTGTGGAAAAACTCTCTTGGGATGCTCCATGTCAAGCCCCAAGAATGTGGAAAAACCCTCTGTCGAGCTGGTCTTATCCCAAGATACCTCATGCAACTGGCTTTAGCGTTCTGCGAGTTTAGAGTGGGTGACCTAACGTGTTTCGCGCACTCCCCAATTCAATGTCATTGTAGTACCAGCAGGGGGTGCCAGGGGATTGCAGAAGGCTGGCACCAACGAAGACCTTTCTGCTTTCTTGTGAAATCGACTTGGGACGCCAAGTCGACGTACCTGCAGTTTGTGACATATTCCGTCGTGCAAGCTGTACATTGCTTTCATCGCGGCATGCTGACGCTGAGTGTACGTGTGAATTTCCAGTATTTCTAGAGTGAATGCGAAGCTGACTTACCCATTTGATTTTCTGAGCTGACTTGAGACCTGCGACACATTGTGTCAAGTGTCAAGTGTCAAGTGTGTGTGTCAGGAGCAGAGCCACCAGGACACCTGGTACACGGGGATCGGTGAAAGCCACACAGCGACACTCCCCTTTTCAACCTCGAGCAGGAACCGTCGCCAGGCGACTGCTCAGCGACCAATCCCGCCGCTTGAAGACCAGTGACTAGACTTTCCCAAGAGCCCTAGTTGGAGTGATTCTTGGTCTGAGGACCACCTCGTGGATGGCCATGCTCTGAAGGCCTTGCAGGCGACAGCAAGGAGATCTTCGCCTCTCTCGCAACTTGAGTGCAGTGCCGTCGCAGGCCTTTCAGAAGGCGCAGGCACAGTTCCAGCAGGCGCACGCGGCGCACGCGGCGCATGCGGCGCATGCACAGTGCAAAAGAGACACAGAACCGGCAGGGGTTTTGCGGTTTTCCAGGCACAGGCACTGGCGGCCGATCAAGCCAACTACCGGTCTTCGCGAGGCTCGCGGAGAGAGCTGAGACCAACTTTTGCTTTGCCTCGGAAAGTCCAGCGAGAGACGTGCCTCAAGCAAGCTGAACCAACCAAAGCTGAATCCTCGACTTTGTACAAGGACGTGTCGTCATTGAATTCCCACCGCGCTTGAACCAGGCAACGAAGCAAATGACCCGACTTGACCAGAGCTGCTTGACGCGAGGCAGATCATATCCCACCGCAATCTACGTACTTTCAGCCGACTCTTCCGTGTCGGTGGAGGAAAACACATTGGCTGAAGCGAGGGCAGCAAAGTCCTGAATGCGGAGTGCGTGTCCGCATGTGTTGGGAGTCTAGAAGGCACCAGATTTGCTCAAGCTTTCTCAAAAGGGTCGGCGGTGGGGAGAAAACTGAAGCTCAGAGTGTGCTTTGAGAACTTGGGCCGCCGGGGGCGGCCTGGGCTCTGGGCTCTCTCGCCTGAGGAGGCTTACGGGACAGTGGGGACCGCCTCAAAAACACTCGACGAGGGGCCCGGGCCGAAGGCCACCTAGCAGAGGGGGTGTGGTTGAAAGGGACAGAAGTCTGGGGTTTGGATGCTCTTGCCTTGATCTTCAGAGCATTCGGAGTACAGCCATCACAACCCCAAGCTATTTCAGTGCTGGCGCGGGAAAGCGGGCCAGACAGATGGCTGTTGTTTGGCCCTTGGCCGAGCATGGGGCGATCGGGTGCGCCTGCACGGACGCTGGAGCAGGCCTTTCGTCCAGCGGAAACAGAAAGACCGAGAGACAGACATAGAGAGAGAAAGACAAGACAGCAGAAAGAAAGAGAGGAAAAGAGATAGAGAGTCCCGCGCCGAACCTTTCTCTCAAGAAGGAGGGCGAGAGAGACTTCTCCAGGCTTGAAGATCAGTGTGCGAACTAACGCAGGGAGTAGCAGTCTCGCCTTCCAACAAGACAAAAAGGAGCGCGAGCGAGACGGCGAGATCATGCGAAAGAGTCCACGCTGTAGGGGCGGCTTCGTCTGCCGCGCGACCGGCAGCTCCTTATGCGGTTCCTGAGCTGAAGTTGCCTCAGATTGATTTCCTGCTTTCTGCTGTTCACATCTTCCCAAGGCCTCTGACTCCGAAGACGAGGCCGTTACTGTAAGTTGTAAGTTGTTGGAAAGAAGGTATACGGTGCACTGTCCGTCGCTCGGCGTGGCACAGTTTTGCTCTTCCAGAAGGGGTGCTTTGCAAGAAGCATGCGTGGCCACTTGGCGAGGACTGATTGAAATTAGCCCGAGTTTGGCGGCTGCTGATCTTCCGAAGATCAAGATGCAGCGGCTTGCATGAGGGGAATGCATATCAGAAATAATGGCGATTTTGCCGACGCCGGACTTTCTAGAGTGCCATGAGGCTTTCGTCAGGTCTCTGGGACCTGAAGCCCTGAAGGGTCCGAGGAGACTTCAAGAGAGGCCTTGTTGGGCCTTGAAGGACGTGGACGACGGGCACGTGAAGGCCCCCAGAGCGCTGCACCAGGGCTACGACCACAAAGAGGCGCGGGAGTCGTCTCAGCTCCCTTCCGCCTCCCGTCCCTCCGGCGAAGCTCCGGTCCGGGAGGTGCGGGACTGGCCCCTGCAGCGCTTCGAGGCGCAGGGGAGCGGAGCGTTGCAGCGTCGTATCGCCCCGCCCTTTTCGCTCTCCTTCGGAGGTGATCCGGAAGCTCCAGGACGCCACCCGCAACAGGGGACAGGCGCACGGCCGAGCTGGAGGGGCCCTCCCCCGCGGTCTTGTTGAAGCACTGTCCTCGCAGGTGGTCCTCATGAAGGACAAAGATGAGAACAGGTTAGTTGCAGCCCCTCGACTGCGATGGTGAGATCATGTCGTCACAATGGAGCATTCCAACCTTCTGTCAGGTGAAAATCATGCCGAACAGGCCCCCCTGGGAACTGCGTTCAAGTGTCTCTGCAGAACCGGAAAGCCGTACTGCGAGGTGGGTGGGCACGAGCCACTCGGATTTCGTAATCGACCACCCCTCGGAAACGGAATTGCCATGGCAGGATGCGGCCCGAAACTCCTACTAGGTAGTCCTCTCAAAGTTTCGGCAGCAACCCCTGACGGAGGACCTGGGATGTGTGCGCTTCTTGAACGATGTTGGCTTCCCTTATGCCTGTGATCTGCTGGGTGTGTACCGGGACGCAGAGCACACCTATGCCCATTCCTCAGAGCATGCCGGATGTTGGGGTGATATGGCGAAAGCTGGCTCGAGGTCGTGACAACCTTCGCGACCGAAGGGGACCTCTTCTCGTGGTGCGAGGCTGGGGTGGGGCGGGAGAAGTTGCTAGAAGATATAAGCTTGGGCTTTCAGGGGGGCGTGGCTCCGGGCCACGAGAGGGAAATAGTGGCTGGCCTCAGTTCCGGCTCACAAGATTTGCTTGGCTTTGCTTGGCTTTGGTTGCTGCCTTCTCCTTCAGGTCGTTCAGCCCATTGCGCGACAGCTCATGGAGGGGATTCAGCAGCTTCACGACTTTGGGATCGCGCAGACCTTAGTGCAATTGGTGGAATCTTTGGCGGCCTGACCGGCCCGTGTGGAGGTGCACCGTGACCTCTCCCTTGAGAATGTGCTCATGTCAAAGACAGATGGCTTTGCCCTGACCACTGCGCTCTGACTTCCCATTGTAAGTCGCCGTGCTGCCGTGCCGTCTTCAGGTGATACGATGACAATAAAGATCATCGACTTTAGCATGGCCTCGACAGCGAGGTCTTTCAGGACTTGAAACAACTTGGGCATTCAATAGCGTGCTATGATCAACATGCGGGATGCCTTGCAAGGAATTGCATAAGAGGGAAGGCATCCTACCAGGCCGGCGGCCAGCCAGCGCAAGTTGAGTGATGCAAGCACTGCAGGCAACACAAGACCCTCTCCAGGCACCCGAGCTGCACACGGACCAGGAGTACGATGCCTACCTGACGGACGCTTTCTCTCTAGGCCTTTCTGTCTGGAGCCGCGACATTGCTCCTTTTTCTGGCTTCTGTTGCGGGCCATCAGCGCTTGGACCAGGTGTCACCCTTTATGCTGTTCTGCTGAAGGACATCCATGGTCGAAGTCGTGTTGCAGCAAAGGTGCTCAAATTGCAGGACTACCCGTGGCTCTCTACCCGGCCTGGTGGATGCAAGTGCTTCGAGTATGTCAAGAAGCACGGTTTCCGAGCGTGCGCCTGCCCGTGAAAGAACAGTACTTGTAGTGTCGTCAACGGCACCTGAACCGTGCAAGGCAGCACTTACGTGTTTCATGAATGTTGAAGGGTGCGGCCCACTTTATTGTTGATTTTTGAGCAGAAGGAACGAGGACGTCTCTTGTTCTAGAGGAAGAGAGCAGAGCCACATGAGGCATCGAAGAGCGGCAAGACGAAGAGAGAGAGCGGGAGACGGACAACCTGTAGCCATTTTGGCTCAAGCCGTGAGTGGTTTAAGGCCGCGCCCGGAGACCGAAGGGGCCTGTAAACTTGCGCGTGAGAGGGAGCGTGAGCCACTGTCAGGGGTGGGCAAGCCATACGAGCACACCGGCGACTGTGTGGAACTGTCTACACCGAGTGGGTCCGCCGGGGGGACATCTACCGGACTGCTCCAGTTCGGTGGCCTTGCCCGGGACCTTAGGGAGATTGTCAGCCCTCCTCCTCTTCGGCGAACCTACAGGACTCGGACCGCGGGGGCACGATCAGCCGGGAGCTCCTTGTCAGAGACCCAGTACCCGGAAGATAGCGGCGGGAGCGGACGTGATACTTCTTCGGGGGCACCGAGAATGGCTACTCCACCGATGCGGATGGAAACCGAGAAAGAAAGCTGCCCCTGAATAAGAACCATAAGTGAGAGGCCCGAGAGGGACCAATACCTGTGCATGGTGCGTTAGCTTTCGGGCACAGCCCTGCGTGGAAGTTAACGGCGACCATGAAGTCCACGATGCCGTGGAAACAATCCTTGACTCTTTTCAAGTTGTACGGCGAACATCAGGGGGAAGCAGTGCTCCTGACCAGCCAATACTTCAAGGTGAGGGCTGTAAATTCGATTTGTGAGACAGGGTACTTGAGTTAGACGACCAAAGTACGCCGTTTTCAGTGCCCCGCCGGATGCAGTTGTGTGTTGTGAGCCTGGTAGTCTGGATGTGGAACCGTGCAGGCTTTTCCCCAAAGTGTTACCTCAAAGAGCTGATTGTGTGCTTTCCATCATGAGGGGTTATCGCAAAGCATGTGGGATTGGAGACGTTCGTGTGCGAGGCGCCTTGAGCTCGAGAAAAGAGGGTTTGGCCCGTGCCCAGTTGTTCATGGCAGCGGAGCTCTGGTAACGGCCAGAGCTGCGACCTTTGGGGGCTGCTGTGGTGGACGCACCTCAGGGAGCCCTTCGAGCCCACGAGTCTCCGCGACTTCGATTACCTGATCAGGGACTACCCCTTCGGAACCTTGGCTGCTCTTGTGCCCCGACCTTTGTGGGCCAGCGCTTTTGCTGGCGGAGACCTGCCGGGATTACCCCCTGCAGCTGAGTTTTGACGATGCCGTCACGGATGTCGCCTGACGAAGAGTCGTTGCGAGAAGGTGACCGACCGGATGCTCCCGGGCCTCGGCCTGGTGGGGCATCTCCTTTGATGCCACGGAGGGCGGCTTCACCGAGAGCCGCGGAGGGCGCAGCTGGGGCTTCCGAGAAGAAGTTCGTGGACTACAGGATGGAGGCTGCCCCGGGCTGGGACGGGGAGCAGCCAGAGGTGAGATACAAGGAGTACGCCCGCAACCTCAAGCTCTGGCTTATTGAAGCCACGGAACGCCTCCCAGGCAGCCTGATTTCCAGTGCCCACATGTCTTTCGAAGAGATAACGGACCCCTTGGGCTACCAGCGCATCGTGGCGACGATTGAAGAGGCGCACGACTACCTCAAAGATGCCAAGCTTGAGCAGGCCTTCGACCAGGCGATCTTCAAGGGCCGCCGCAGGGCCGATCAAAGCTTGAGTGGCTTCGTCGCCACCAAGAAAGCAGCGTGAGCTGAAGAGGCAGGGGCTTGACCTGCTGGGAACCTCAGCAGGGAGCCACTTGCTGGGGCATTTATTGCTCCGTCAGGGGAACTTCACCGAGGACCAGAAGCAGCGGATCAAGGTCCTCACGGATGGTTCGATTGACTTCCTGAAAGTGGAGAAGGCCATCAGGAAGCTGTTTGGCGAGACCGTCGACGAGCCGGGCCAAAGGAACCGCACCTTTTGGCAAGGCGACCAGGACGGTGAGAATGGCTACGGTGACGAGGAGGACCTCGAGCACCTGACCTTTTGGGAGGAGGCCAGCGACTACGTGACCGAGGCCTTTGACGACCTCCTTGAGTTCGACGAGGCCACCGGCGAGACCTACATGATCATCGAGGAGGCGAGTACATCGGGGACTACCTGACCTGGGTTTACTATGAGGCCAAGGAGCGCTTCGGCAAGGGCAAAGGAAAGGGCAAGCCGCCCAGGAAGGACCGGAAGTCACCTGGCACCTTCGGTGTGTATGGCTCCCTGGGCTCCTACCTGGACCACCGCAAGGCGCTGCAAGATGCCCGGACGGGGCGGAGATTCATGTCGCCGAGATCGGAGCGACACGACGGCCGCCACCGCATGAGCATCGGCGACCTTATGGCCAAGACCCGGTGCCACCAGTGCAAGCAGTTAGGCCACTGGGCTAGGAATTGCCCACAGAAGCGCCAGGGAGCTCCCGGCCGAACGAGTTCGGGAAATCACCGGCCGCAACAGCAGCCGGGTGGACCCACGGCGGCGATGTTCTTTGTAGATCCGCCGGCGCAAGACCGGCATGGCTATTATGCCGTGACCGGAGAGCCTTCCGCAGTGGAGCAATACATGAGTGAAGCCGTTCGCGCTACCGCCTTTGCCCGACAGCAGACCAAAACAACACCGACACACCACCGACACCTATCTCAGCTACAACTTTGCCACAACACAAGAGATCGCCGGCCGAGCACTCATAGACACTGCAGCACAAGATGGGCTAGTGGGGCAGGAAACTTTGAAGCTGATGGACCAAAACTTGCAAAAGAATTTCGGGGTTAAGGCCCAATACTCGGCGGAAGATGGTGGCACTGTGCGTGGGGTCTGTGGTGTGGTGGAGAAAACTCCGATTGCCTATGTTCCCGTCGGGGTCAGCGGCTATAGTGGGCAACTTCGTGTGCAGATTGTGCCAGGGTCAGTGCCTTGCCTGGTGCCAGCCTACTTGTTGTCAGACCTCGGCAGTGTGATCGACATGTGCAGCATGAGGATTTACCACACACGTCTCAGTTGCATGCAGGACATGTCTCAGAAAAGCTCAGGGCATGTGGAAGTGAGCCTCACAGAGTTCGGGCCTGAAGGGTTCAATGTGCCGCCGCATGTGGCTTTTGGCAAATCCCAGATAGTCCACCGACTTCCTTTGTGATCGTGGATGCCGCGGGCAACCCTCTCGAGATGCCTTCAGTGCTGGCGCCGCTTGTTGCTGCGTTGGCAGTGGGCCTTCAGCGTGCAGGCAGCCTCGGCCCTCATGGAGATCGTTCGAGAACCTCACCTTCGAGTCGCCCGTCGCTTGGCTATCCGCCGAGAACATATGGAACGACGGGTTATGCTTTCCCAGCAGCAGGAGAGCAGGAGAGCCACATCCTGGCGGGCGAAGACCAAGAAGCGGGAGCCGATTCGGAGCTACCTGCCCGAGGCATGTCGGGCGTTCGAAATTCCTGGCACCAGTTCTCCGATCCTCGCCCACCTGCCAGCACGTGAAGATTTCTCATGGGGCCAATGCTCAATGGGCCTGGGTCAAGTGCGACCAGTGGGTCGGTGGAGCAGATTCCGAAGCTCACCCCGGACCAGCTGCAGGAGTGGAACACGGTGCTGGTGTACCAGAAGCCGACGTATGTCACTCCCATCAGCAAGAAACAGGAGAAGCAAAAGAAGAAGAATGTGGCGAGCAGCTCGGTGGACCCCGTGGATCCGGAACCTCCTGTGCCGATGAGCTCGCGGCAGCGTCCTCCCTACATTGTCGTTCCCGAGGTGGAGACTGCGCTGCCAGCAGCAGCCATGACGGCCGGACCGATGATGGTCGACGGGAACGAGGACACCTTCGACATCGGCACACCAGCGAGCTTCGCGTTTCCACCCCCGAGTTCGGCGCCCGATATGGACAACGACTTCCTCGAGGACACTCTGAACATCATGCGTTGCGACCCACCGGCCGAGCACCGGAACTGCCCACTGTGTCCTGGCGGGGAGCTGACTCTGTGTCGACTTCAGGAGCAGCGGCTTCTGATCTGGATGTGCTACCGAGACCCAGACTGCCAATACAAGTGGCAGGGCAAGATACCTCAAGACCAGGTCAATCCGGCCTGGGGAGTGAGACTTTGCATGGAGTGTCAGCAGAACGAGGTGAAGAAGGCGAGCGGGAAGGGCCGCGAAGCCTGGGTATGCGACCACTGTGGAGACCGAACCTGGAGGTGTACCACGCCTTCCTCACCAATGGCGGCTACAATCCGAGGGAGTTGGTTCGCCGCCTGGAGAATTTCAATGCCTCGGCGGCCTGACCAAAGGGCGCCTGCAGGAGCTCGAGAACATCACCGAGGACGGCTGGAAGATGATCGCCGCGATCGTTGAGCCTAGCCGTTGCTACCTGTGGCAGTTTCGTGGAGCTCAGGTGCCCGGGTCTCGGAATGCCACGATCCAGGCACCAATGCAGAAGCGAATGATCTTCAATGTTGATGAAGGCCATTTGAACGTGGTGGACATCAGCTATTATGGGAACTTCCGGACCTATGACCTCGGGACCTCCGAGCCGGTGTCCGTCTACGTGGTCCAGGAGTTCGAGGAGGATTTCGTGCAGGAGGTGACGATGGAGAAGGGCGAAGAAGCTACTGCTGGAAAGTTTGGACCGTCTGTGTGGTCCTGGCCATGAGGAGTACATGACGGCTTGTGAAGATGAACATCGGAACTCCGAGGCCACTTTTGACCAAGCAGCCTGGAACCTGCCTACGGCCCATGAGCGCAGCTACTGGATCGAGCGTGCCCAGGAAGAACGTGGAGGTCGACGATGGAGGCGAGTGGGTGACGCACTCGTGCCGAGGCACGAGGTACGACAGTGTATGCTAGCGCTAGTATCCCTGTGGGAAACATCGAAGGTGTTTCGCTAGAAAACGTCGAAGGGGTTTTCCTCTGAAGCTAAACAGAACGAAGCCTGTCTGTTTTGCTAGAGTGACTGCACATGGCCGGTGAAGCATGCGCTACTCCGTGGCCATTGTGCTGAAAGGCCCCAGGTACTGGGGGGCAATTTTCGAGTGGGGGTAGGAAGGGGAACAGGGCTAATTAGCCCTGCTTTGGGTGCGCTGCCATGTCGGACAGCGACGCTACCCTGGCGCCGACCACGCCAGGTGGTGCAGCTGCTACAGCCGTCGACTGCGCTACTGTGGTTGGCGATTCCCCGCCCCCCGCTAAGTTCTTCGTGTCCCACTGAGGTCCCCGCAGAGCTAGGGGGGGACGATACCGTGCTAGCGACCCACAGCCCGAAGAGGTGGGAGTACTCTTTGAGGGCTGGGAGGTGGAGGCTGAGCTAGATGCGCAGGCTACGGCTACGGTCCAGCAGGCGTAGGCGTACGCGGGCCTACCGGCACCTCTCCAGCCAAGGGTTTGGGGTCTTAGAGCTAGCTGTGGTGGACCTGGATGACGCGGAGGACGTCGCCAAGCAACTAGCTCGAGAGCTAGGTATTCCTTACCAGCCGTGGCTATGGGATGGCGTTTACTGTTGGCTGCAGGAAGGACGGCAGGAAGCTGCGGTCTACCAAAGGGTGCACGGCTACTTCCAGGACGACATCACCTGGAGGGCCCGGATGCCACCGCTACCGGCCCCAAGGGAAGAGGTCGAAGAAGCTATGCACCAGCCTCCGGTGCCGCTAGCGGAACCGAAAGGTGCTACAGCCCAGCACGATTAGTGCAGCTAGGGAAGAGCGATTGCTAGAAGTTTGGGCGAGGAAGCTCCGCAAGGAGCTGCTAGAGATACATGCCCCTGTTCTCGCTAAGCTGCATGGGAGTCTGGATCCCGTGAGGGCAGCTATGTTGCTCCCAGGGAAGACACGGGCTTCTACTTTGAAGCGCTACCTGAGCTACTACAGGCAGTGGCGCCAATGGCTCCACGCCGCTAAGCTCAGGCCGCCTCCGGGCACCGCCGCTGACTTGGTGGGTTACCTCCTCGCTAGGAGCGATGAACCTTGCGGCCGGTCGGTTCCGGAAGCTATTCTTAAGGCTATCTCCTGGATGGAGAAGGTGGCCGACTTCCCGGTCGAGCTACGGACCACCTTCGGTCGCCTGGTCTGGGCCGCTAAGGACAGCATAGTGGAGCAGCTAGCGGAGGGAGCCCCCTTGATCAAGAGGGCGCCACGCTACCCCGTTTACATGCTGGTGCAGCTAGAGCTGGTGGTGATCAACCCCGCCCTGGTGGTGGGCTGGCGCATCTGGGCCTGGGCTAAGTTGGTCAAGGTCTGGGCCACGCTAAGATGGTCGGACCTTCAGGCTATCCTGCCGGCCGAGCTATTGATGGTGGAAGGACGTCTCACCACCATCCTCCGGAAGACAAAGACTTCCGGTGCTACGAGAAGGGTCAAGGAGCTACCGGTCGTGGTGTCGGAGCACGCTTTTCTGGTCGCTAAGAGCTGGCTGGTGACCGGCTTCGATCTCCTGAAGGCCCACGCTAACTACGCCCGGGACTACCTCATGCCGCGGCTGGGCCGGGCGGGGCAGCTGGAGAAGAAGATGGCTACCTATGCGGACGCTATGGTGGCAACTGCGGGGCTGCTGGCTATCATGGGCTACCCCCGGGAGCTCCAGGGCTATTGGACGGAGCACAGTGAGCGCTCGGTGCTACCAACAGGTTTGGCGCTAAAGGAGATCCCACCGCAGGATAAGGATCTGCTAGGGCGTTGGAAACCCGAGGGGTCCGACGTGTACGCTAGGTCCTTTGCGGGTAGGGTGTCCCGTCTCCAAGCTCTCTTCGCTGGGACAGCCAGGGGGGACGACCGCCACGAAGCGCTCGACGAGCGTGAAATTGCCGCGGACCTCGAGCCCTGGCCGGAAGAGAGGGCCAAGCCAACCCACAGCCAGGCCATCGCGGCACGGCTGCGGAAGATCTGGATGGAAGGCCTGCTAGGAGTCCCGACCGAGGCGGAGGAGCTAGAGGTTCCCGAGGAACCGGACGAGCCCGCGGAACCGCTAGTGGCCGGGAGTAGCTCCGAGGCTTCTGCGGAGGTCGTGGAGCGGCCTGCTAAAAGGCAGGCCAGGGTTCCTGACCGCAGCCAGGGCAGCTATGTGATCGTAGAGGTCCCAGGTGCCATTTTCCGCCTGCACAAGGCGGGCGCTACAGGCTGCTGGATGGGGAAGCGCCGTGCTTTCCGCAACGCTAGGATTCTTGATTCGGTTCCGGGGCCGCACGAGTACACACATGTGTGTAAGCTATGCTGGCCGAACCAAGGGGCTATCTCCGAAGGAGATGCTAGCGCAGGATCGCTCGCTAACTCGGAAGATGACGAGGCCCCCGAGGATCCCGCAACAGGGTCCGCTAGCAGTCATCCTTGAGCGCAGGGCGTGCTAAGCCGCCGGACTCGCACTCGCACCAAGGCTAGAAAGACTGCTAGGTCGGAACCGCTTCACCTCCCTTCTCTGCCTCTCTCTCTCCCTCTTTTCCTCCTTTACGAAACGCCGCTAAATTTTTGAGGGGGTGTGCTTGGGAGGGGGGAGGGTCTTCTCGTGGGCCGGGGGGGTTGAGGGGGAGGGGGGTGAAGAAAGAAGAGAGTGGAGGGAACCACGTTCTTGCTACATGTCACTTGCTGTGTTGCCAGTGTTGTGCTTTCGTGTTCGGAAACCGGGGCCGGGGGACCCCTTCTCTGGCCACCCAGGGAACACAGGAGCTAGGAGAGGAGCCAGTGCTTGCGCTAGGTCCGTCCTGCAGGAAGGAGCTGAGGAGCGGTGGAAGGCGCTACGAAACGGGCGGGTTTTGGGCCGCGCTAGGCAACAGGGCAACAAAGGAGCTAGGCGCAGGAGCCAGTGACAGTGCTAAACCTCCTCCCACGGATAGCTCTCGGCTTCGCTACCCCGGGGTAGCTAGATTTTCTTAGCCGTTTCACCTGATCTGTGCCTTGGGGATCGTTATGGGAGGAAAGGGCAAAGACGCCCGTGCTACTTCGCCCAAGGGCAAGGGGGCCGCAGACGGCCCCGCTACGGCCGAAGAGCCCGCTACTGGCCGTCGGAATGCGCCGACGGGCTGCATCGCTATTTGGACAGGCCCCTGCTACAGGAGTTGGTCGCTATGTCTCACGAGGCAATCGAGACGCTAGACAAGGAGCCCCCACCCAGGAAGTGGCTAGGGGCCGGGCTCCGCCAACAGAGCCCCGCTAACATGATGGAGCGGCGCGTTCTGTCCGCTACTAGCTGGGCGGACTTGTCCCAGGAGGACATCGCTAGCCTGGATGCTGCTATGTCTGCGGGCTTGACGCAGAAGTTCGCCGCTACAGAGGCCGCGGCGGCAGCAGCCAAGGCCCAGCTAGACACTCTAGCCGCAGCCAACGCGGCCGCTAGCGCTGCTAAGGCCAAGGCCCGCAACAAGGCGGAGGCCATAGCCGCTAGGTTGGCGCTATAAGAGAAGAAGGCCGAGCACGACCAGCGGGTCGCTGCGGCCGCGCTAGAGCAGAAAAAGAAGGAAGCCGCGGAGCGGCTCGCTAAGGAGGAAGAGGCCGCCGAGCTGGAGTTCCAGCAGGCGGTGGCCGCTAGCAAAGCCTCCCTGCAGGCCGCAGAGGAGGCCGCTAATAGGGACACGTCGGCTAATTAGGGGCAGCGCCGATCCGCCACCTGCTGCCGCTACCGCAGCCGCTACAGTGCCCCCGGCTGCGGCGACTGCAGCCGCTACCGAGGACCCCACGCCGGCAGAGTCCGCCGCTAGGAGGTTCATGGAGATGGGACCCAGGGCCCCGTCCGCTAGCCCCTCGTTCCCGCGGGCCGCTAGCCCAAGCAGAGGCCGGGGCGAGAAGGGCAAGAGCAAGGCGCCGGCCGCTATGATCAATGTCTTCGACTACACGTGGAGCACGCTATTCGATGACCCTGACCGCTATTTGGAGCTGCTGCGCCGGGAGCTCCAGCAGGAGCCTAGCATGTATAGAGATGCTGTCCATGGTGGATAGCATTCTTCACTAGCGCGTTGTCCTCGCCTTTGCCGTAGTGGGGGTTGGGCCCCTTGCCTTTCCCCAGGTCGTAGCGGCGATCCCAGGAGCCCAAAGGCCAGAGATCGCGATCGATGCTCGACCACGATAGCTCGAGATACCAGTAGCTCTTCCCTCTTTGGGAAGACTGTTAGCGTGGGCTCCGGGCGGGGGCCTGGCCCGGCCCTGTAGCGCGACACTCACCGGTGTCCCCTTAGCGGCACGGACGTTGGCCGGCATGCCACCCGCCTGCTCGATAGCGCGCTACTGTCCATGCTATTGCCCAGCTGCTATACACAGTACCAGCCTGACTGCTGCCGCTACTCCCTGGGCCACTGGGACAGCTATGTGCAACGTGAGTTCCGATGCTCGGGATGTGATTTGGAAAAACGACCACCTACCAGACTACCTGCCTCGACTCCGAGGTGCTACGACTTCAATGTCACGAGTCACGATCGGTATCGACGTCCTCTTCCTGCACGGCCTGGACAACCGTACCGAGCACCCCGTGCTCAACATCACTGACCTCGGGACCTTGTATTCGACCTTCGGCCTCATCGACCACGCCCGCCGATCAGCACAGCTCACCTTCAAGGCCTTTGACCGACTGTGGCTCAGGACTTTCGGGCCGCCAGAGTTCATGACGATACTGGATCAGGGCACAGAGTTCACCGGTGCCGATTTCGAAGCTGGCTTGGAACGTCATTGCGTACAACCGCTCTTTATCGGTCAGGATGCTCCTTTCGAGAATGGCGTGACCGAGCGCCGGGGCGGCTTGTTCAAGGACGTCTACTACAGGTCCAGAGAGCTAGCGCAACCCCGGAACATGGACGAGGTCGAGGCTCT